AAACTGTTTGAAAAGAATGCTGCTCCCCTTCTACACCTGGCCGGTGTGGAGATTACAATAGTGAAGGTATTTCACTTTGAACCCATCAGCGCTTTTAGTTGCTCCACATTTGACGACGTGATCACGTGTTGCCCATTTTTCCCTCTACAGACGGATTATGAGGGCCAGGCAAAGAAACTGATGGAGCTCATGGAACATACAGACATTCTCGTCGTGGCCGGAGGGGACGGCACCTTGCAAGAAGTCGTCACAGGTTTGCTGCGAAGACCAGATCAAGTAGGTGTCGCTCTGCAAGATGCCTTAATTCCTACTTTCTATTGATGTCACTGATGGATGTTTAATGACTACAGGACACAGTCTGTAACACTCCAATTGGATTCATTCCACTGGGCTCTCGTAATTCCCTAAGTCCAAGTCTTCACCTCCTCAGTGACAACAAGGTCAAGTAAGTACCCTTCAATGTCATGAGAAAGTACCACATTTTACTATCACATGATCTTCTAACCCGCGGTAATCTGTGTACTGGAAAGATATGTGGATATGGACATGGTAGGCGTATGCATGGTACCACGCATGTAACTTAAATCCATTTTTTGCTCCTTCCAGAGACATTACATCAGCAACACTGTCCATTCTAAAGGGGGAAACCGTACCTCTGGATGTGCTGCAAATCAAAGTGAGAAACTGCCTCAAAGTTATCGACATAGTGTTTGTCTTGAATTCATATAATTACTTGCATCCGTTTCTGTTTTCCGGTTAACCTAACAAATGTCTTGAAAATTCTATGATTTCATCCTTTATTTTAAAATACGGGTAGATGAAATCCAATGTTCTGATTGGTTGAGAGTGAGTCACGTACGCAACCGGACAATTCAGGTGGTGGTCATGAGCGATGTGAATGAATGAGATGGTGCGAGATCTTGCGAGGAGACCCAATGCTGTTTACATGCACTTACGGGGACTATTTTTCTTTAGACCACTGAAATGCGATACACAACGTTTGGTGGCTAACACTTTCGTGCAGAATTCAAATGTGAGTGTGTGTGTTCTGTAGGGGGAGAAAGAGCAGCCGGTCTTTGCTCTGACGGGACTTCGTTGGGGGGCTTTTAGAGATGTGGCTGCAACAATCAGCAAGTAAGAATACACAATCGGTCACTCTGATTATAACCCGATTATCACATAATTCCATACACAAAAGAATGGCTATTGATATTTCATCATAGGTATTGGTACCTTGGACCACTGAAGACCAGTGCAGCTCATTGGTTTAGTACACTACGGGTAAGGCAATTTATTTTCTTGATTCACTTGATTTCATTTTGTGTCTTCCGCTGTTGCTTTGTCACCACGACCCCTGATTATGTGGCTGCGGATGTATTTTAATTCCATCACATGTCATTTGATCTTGCGCTGTTGAAAAATCTCTCAGGAGTGGCCCTTGGTCCGCGAGGTCTCCGTGTCCTACCTGGCTCCCAGCCTGCGGCCCCCTGACCTGCCCACTCAGAAGCCCCCCCGGCCCAACCTGCTGCACCGCATCATCCGCAGGCTCCAAAACCGCTGGAACCCTCCGGCAGAAGGTACTATTGGCTCTTTTGTTTGTACCTCTATCGCAGCACGACGCCAAATCCCAGCAGTCGGAGACAGCGACTTTTTTGGTGATTTGTGTGTCCTCAGAGCCTCCAAAAGTGGAAGAGCCGGAGCAGTGGAAGGAGGAGCATCTTTCGACTTTAGAGCTGTTTATTCACACGCACAACAAAAACCCAGTGGAGAGGGTCAGTCCAAAATAATTACTTTTTTTTTCATACCTTGTACTGGTTGATAATAATGACATTATCCCACTAAAGTGCCTGGTTTTCCTCTTCGATTGTTAAACACAACTTGTTTCTATTCATTGAAACTTGCAGCGCATAAATGACTCCCTGGTGATCTGTGCAGAACCGGACAACTTCACAGTGGGCGAGTACATCACAGTCGGGTTTGTAGCTTCACTTCTTTCTCCGTCTGCTGCAAACGGAGGCAAAACACCTTTTGTAAAAAATGAAAAATGTTCATTGCAGAAGTAAAAAAGAGGAGGACCCGACTGTATTCACCAAAGACTCCACAAGACTGGAAGCCAGTGCTTGCCAGCTTCAGCTGCCAGAGGTCAGAAACCAACTATTCAATCACAACTATTTAAGGATTGTTCTCATTGTATCAATTTCCCCCGCCAAAGCTTTTTCTATGACTTTTAACTCGACGTCGCGACCCCGCAGGGTTCCGCCGGCTTCTACAACATCGACAACGAGGAGTATGAGGCCATGCCTGTAGAGGTACGGCTGTTGCCACGGAAACTACGTTTCTTCATCAGCGCGGAGCGCCGAGAGCAGCTCCTCTCGCTGACGCAGTGATGAAAAGACACTGGACCAGGAAGAGGACAAGAACAGCGAGACGAGAGAAACAAAAGAGGTGAAGAAGCCGACGCCACGAGTCTCTGAAGTCGGGCAGATGTCGGCTGCGCCGGCAGTTGAAACTGCTCATGAAGTACCGATGGATTCTTTTACTAAATGCAAACTTTGAGTTGAACAATCATGAGGAGAATTATATTACATGCTGTCGTATTTTAAAGGACCAAGGCTTTGTTTCTTCAAGCCAGTAACCTGTGTATGGGTTGTCTTACAAAGTGGCTTTGTGTTTACTGTACCCAACACCTTTGCACTTGGTCAATTAAAATAATTTCTGTCCAATTCAACACAAAGTTGTTGGTGTTTCTTCCTACCGGTCTGACGTTCAGTACGTCAGCATTTAGCAAATGCCTGGTTTCAAATGCAGCCGTTGGTCAGAGGGTTCGAGGGGGGGCAGCTGGTGGCGAGGGACTGAGAAGGAAAGAACAGAAATACTTTGAGCTCGTTGTGAGGAGGTACTGGTACTATGAATGTTATTGATTAGGTTTGAGGTACAGATGAATGGATGATTGCAGAAGAATGTAGAGATGCTGCAGCCCCCAATGTGCTGCTTGTATCTTCAACAAGGTGGCAGACTGCGCGGTGAGGCCGGGTGCGATCTGACCGATGACGTAGACTGGATTATGCGAGTGGCTGCATCACAGATCCAGATTGATTTGTTTGTTCTGGAAAACCCAAAAGAGGCTCTTGGTTTTGTTTGCTGTGTCTCGTGGGTGAAAATCCTATTAGGGGATGGCCATGACTTCATACTTTACCCATTTTGGAGGAAATATTGTAATTTTCATCTGTAGTCCTGCATATCCCATAATGCGCCAGCTTCATTCAGATCCTATTTACTTCCCTTAACGATCACCTCCTTCGATCGTTTGTAACGAAGGCTTTCTGTCAAAAAGTCTCAGCCAGGTTGGAAAAAAAAAAAAAAAAGACCCTAATAATGTCAGCGTCATGTGATTCCAAAAGGCTCCTTCCAAAGGAAAAGGAGGCATTGATCTGTTTTCAAAGGCCGGAGCAGAAGTTTATATTTATGTATTAAGAGAAGGCACTTTTAAAGAACCAGTAAATGAGGTAGTTAAAAGTGGCTCCTACAATTACAACATGAAATTCTGCTTACATATTAATGCCCCAATTCTAAAGATCTCATTAAAGTACATATTAACTAAGGAATTCCACTTTTAATAATGAAAATCCGTTTCGATTTCCGATTCTGCGATTCTGCACTAGCATGCACACAAAAATCAAGTATTTGTAACATTCCCTGAGCAAGGCACCTAACCCCTAATTGCTTGTAAAAGCCATGGGTTAAAAATGTAATGCAAGTCGCTTTGGATAAAAGAGTCAGCTAAATGACCTGTAATGTAATTTAACAAGGATTAACTGCACGATGATCCGATCGACCTAAAAGTTGCTTTTTGTTTTTCGAAAGACATTTCGGAGATCCTGCTCAGCGGGCGAAAGGGGAGGTGTAGGTGGAGCAAGATTACAAATGCCAGTTATGCAAGAAGCAGAGGATCAGATAACACCTAAAACTGTTTCAATGCTTTATTGTGTTACAATGGCAGTACAGTGAAATGATGATCATGCTATTGAGTTCATGTTTACATTATTGACATCTCTTACAGTGTTTCACATTAGTAAAGACTTTTGTTATTCTGTGAGAACAGTACTTGATTTACATCACAATCAAAAGGAGGAAACGGTTACACAACTTGGATGTGTTGTTCTTTGACAGTCGATGTACGAACGACTCACCTTTGCCAATGCTGGTAACACATCTGTGAACGACTCCACAAAAGAAGGCCTTGTACACAGTGGTGTGTGTGTGTGTGTGTGTGTGTGTGTGTGTGTGTGTTTGCGTACATTCCTACGTACACCTGGAAGCAAACGCTGTCAGAGGCAAGATGATGATGTCTGCTGCAAGTAAACGCACGCAATGAGTCAGTCACTCGGTTGGGAGATTGAGAGAATCACTTAAGGCCGCATTTAAACAACAAAGCTCTTTCAAATACAATACTTTGTGCACGTTTTCACTTTTCTAACCAACCCAGAAAACCTCTTTGGGGTTAAAGTCAGGACAGCAGTTGAAAGATCACTTTTGGAATGTGCTACCAAATGAAAAAATGGGAAGGCTATTTGTAGTTGCTGTACAAATACGAATAGATGTCCTAGCTTGTTTACGGGGGGGGCAAGAGAAGGCTGAGAACCAGTACTCCAAATTTATAGGAGACATCGGCTTGTTGTTATGTGTTCCACCGTGGAACGAATTATTACTCCGATGAGCAACGCGACGGATTAAATGAACCATTCTGCCAGGATAATTCCAAAAACACCAGTGGGCCCATGGGGAGTCGGATCCCTCATGGGGACTGCGATGAAAAATCCTTTTAAAAAAAAAAAAAAAAAAATCCTGCACAAACAAATGGGGGGGGGGGGGGGGGGGTTCTTAAAGCTTCTGCCCGTCCTTCACTGTGAACAACACCGGATCCCCTAAAACAAAGACATCTTTGTGAGGGACACAGAAAGGCAAAGAGGATCCATCAAGAACTCCAGCATCATCACAACGTATATTGGCTGCCGTTGATGAACTGGCCCACAGTTGGAGTAAAATAAACAAAAGAAGGTGCACGGTGCAACACGCAAAGCCCCCGCGCTCCATAACCACCTATTGGCTCAGACGGTTAGTCAAAAACATACAAACGTGCACCTTAACCACAACCACTGTGTGCATCTTGAAATATTCCAGTGGTGGAGGTGGTGCAGCATTCGTGATAAGTTAGTGGTGTAGTGTCATTCATTGACGACGACAACCTTAGTTTAGGGTAAAACATGTAACAAACAGGTTTCAAGAGCGCGTCCATCAGTCGCACATTTGACTGCGATCAAACACATCACATCATCAGATGTACCTGGTGTCAAAGCTGCAGCTCCCCATTGAAAAAGAGGATATCGAACATCCTCTCGCTCACTTTCAGTTGTGAAAGAAAGAATAAAAACTAAAAAAACAAAACAATGAAACACGAAGAGGGCTGGTTTCAGCCAACACACTCCTCTATTGCTTCCTTTTTGAAAGGTAAATAAAGCAGTCAAAAAGCATTTGATTCACAAGTATGTTATCACAGCAGGATGAATTTGTTGCACATTACGATGCCTAGAGTCTTCTAAAGAAAAATCTATTCATAGCACACAAATTCATATTCAGTAGCACAAATGCGGCCACGTAACAGGAATCGCTTCCTTCAGAAGAAACGTACGTTAGACCCAAAAGGCGGCGGGATCGTGGCCCTTTCTGCGACCTCTTCGTTGTGCTGCGTGACGTGACCGCCCCGCAGCAACGTCCCGACCAGATCGACGCCAGCATCAAAGTCAAACATGAGCGCACAAGCGAACCAGTATCGCCAAAAAAGATGTGAAAGACTGTGGGACCATGCGGCCGACGGGTGGAATGGCCCACGAGGCGAGCGTTTTGTCAGCCGCCCCCCTGCCGAGGAGCGGTGCAGCAACGTTCACTGTCCCCGTCACCCGCGGTGTTTGGAAACAGTCTCCAAAAAGGTCAGACGAGACGCACAAAGAGGGAAAACAGACAGCCAGGAGGGGACAGCAGGCGACAGATGGAGAAGCCCCAGGGTGGAGGCAGTGCCTACGTCGTCTTGTCGCGAGTGGGCCGTAAAAGGCACGAGTGTCCCGTGGCATTCAGTTTCCCAGGCTGGCGGGTGAGGACGGAGGGGAGAGGGAAGGGGAGGGCGGGGCGGGGGGGGTCGTTCAGGAGCAGCAGAGGTTGTCTATGACCAGCGCGACGTCAATCTGGTACACATCCAGCAGCTCCAGCAAGAAGAACCGATCGCCCTGGGGGTCCAGCCCCATGGCCCTCACATGCTCGGAGGTGAGGGTGGGGTCGCTGCTCCCTGCTACGTCCGACAGGATCTGAAAGATGCGGTTGTTAAGCTCCATGAAGAACCTGGGACAGGATTAAGAGACATTAAAAGTCATTTCACGGTCTTCCGCATCACATTAAAGAGAGAAAAACAGTTATAATTGGACGGTTCTAATGGGACACACGCTGCCTGCGATCAGCAGCTGTGAAGACACTTCACAGGACTCACAGGATGAAAAGATCCTCTTCATTTGTCGTGCAGTCTCCATCCACCTCCTGAGTGTAAAGCAACATCTGCCTGGAGACCAAAGGAAGAAAAAAAGGTACATTTATGATGTATGATATTTGAAAAACACATTCTGCCCCTCATGGCTGCCATCTACGAGTCCATGTTAATGAAGCAGCGTTACGGTGGTCAGTTATTTGAAACCCATCTCAGGTGTACAGTATCTGACGTGGTGTACCTCTGCTCGCTCAGCTTCCTGTACTTCTCCTTATCCGCTGCATTCAGTCGAAGCAGCGGCTGCAAATGGCTCCTGTGCGTTTTCACATTCTGGTTATCAACGTAGACGTCGTACAGCTCCTTCTTTTCCTCAAAGATTTTCTCTGTTGTGCCTTAAGATATAATTTAAAAAAATTAAAAAATAAACATGCACATGAATAAAAGGAGTCATTTCCATAGATTACAAGTAGCGTTCAATCAGCCATTTTAGATGCGACGCTTCGCTCACAGGCCACGTAGGACAGCTCCGTTTCCAGGGCGGGGATGTCGGCTATGTTGATGTAGAAGAAAGGCCGTAATTCCGGCACGGAGACGCCAATTCCAGGTAAAGAGACATTGGCCAGGCAGCAGCAGCAATACACTGAGGAAGGCACGAGAACACGGGCAGTGAAGGCTCTCCATGGAAAAAGAAAATTACACCTAAAAATTGTAAAAACCCTGTTCAGCCTGACCCGTTCGCTTAAAGAAAACCAGTGCGTTTGTGTCCACGCGTGCGTTGGAGCTTCTCACCTCTGTAGCAGACTACGCCGATGGGGGGAGGGGAGAAGATGAGGACCCGTTTCCTCAGCAGTGCAAACTTCCACAGCACCATGATGTGCTCCCCGAAAAACTGGATGAACTGGGACATGCAGCCGGCCGGGTGGGTGATCTGCAGGGTGAGAGGACAAATGGGTTTCGTTGCGTTGATGCCGCTGCTGCTCGTGCTGTGCAAACCCGCCATCCCCAGCAATGTGCTCTGCTGCGTTCACACCTTCATCTCTGGGTGCATACAGCGGTTGATGGTGGTGACACTCCAGGTCGGGCAGGCGGTGACCAGACCCTTTCCTGTAGGGGGAAGCACGGCCTTCTTGTCCTCGTAGAAGGCCTCCAGAGGAGAGTACTGGCCCGGGCACTTCAACTGGTGCCTAAATGGAAATGTCGGAAAGAAAGAGAAGATGGGGAGGAGCAGAGATTAAAAAAAAAGGAGGAGAAGGTCACGGATGAGTCATGAGAGCCTTTTCTCATTTGTGCAACTGAGCCCATTGTGCTTGCTTGAGTGCTTATTCATTATCTGTCGCATGTCCCTCAGCCATGAACACTCGCAGCTCGGGATGGAGGTTTAAAGACAACTACTGAAAGGCACTGCTGCTTGTTTTTTTTTTTTTAAGCAACGTAAATGCTTGAGCTCTGTGAATGAATTGCGATTTCAGTGTCGGACACTATTTTGGATAATTCAAGATGACATATTGTGCTTGGCCAGTAAACCTTCAGTGGTTTTTAAATTGCATTGTGGGATCATTCGAGGCCACACGCATTTCCCCCCCATTTAGTTTAACCACCGCAGCCAACCAGTACTCATGCTTGACATTTATATCCAACACCGTTCGAGGTATCTGCTTACTGCTGTGGAGTAGCAAGCAGATACATAAGGCCACAGTTACCACACATAAAAACACAACCCCGATTACCACACACTTGTACTTGGAGGCAACCTGTTTTATTTGTATTTGGAATACAATATGCTGTCGTGCTGGTACACGGTTTTACTACAAGATGAAAGAAGGTTGCTGGATTTGTTTTCTTTTCTGCGTGCTTTGTGAGTGACATTTGTAGGACTGTCCGTCAAACAGGATCAAGTAGCCACAGCATGTAAAGCAAAAAAAATTTAAAAAGCAAGTTGATCACTGTTGATAATAACGTGTTTAACTGACAGCACGAATAAAAAAAAAAATATATGCATATATATATAGAGATAGATATAGCTCTAGATCGGTAGATAGATAAGCTTTTGAGAGAAGTGGGGAAGAGGAGCAGAGATGCTGAAGAGAACAAAGACTGTCCAGGCGCCTTCGAGCATGGGACCATACAAAAAACAACTGAATGGTATCTTGTGACGATCGCTGTAACCTGGACTCTGGATCCATGTTTAACAGAGGAGTCAAATTTTAACAAACAAGCGAGAGCAGGGGGTTGGCTCACAAAGAACAAATCCTGTAAACCCGTCAAGGAGAGAAATAAAAGGAGGTAAAAAAAAAAAAAAAGAACACAAAAATGTGATAATGTCAGATAGAAATAACAAACAGATCCAGGGGTGAACCGCAGCATGTCTCACCTGACTTGGTTCTCCAGAAAGTGCATGTAGCGGTAGAGCAGCGTGTAGGAGGGAGACAGAATCCCCACGGACTTCATCCTGGCCCCTCGCTCCAGCTCACTGTCCACGGGCATGTTAGCAAAGCAGGCCAGACCAAAGTAACAGCCTTTGCGGAAATATCTGGCCGAAAGGCAAAAGCAAAGACCGGGAGTAAACACGGTGTGAAGGATGTCACAAGGACAGATTAAACACGTGTCGGTGAGTCACGATGGGCGGGGGGACTGGGAGTACATACATGAAGTCACTGGTGATCCGGTGGGAGCCGCTAGCGATTGACTTGAATTCAACTCCATCCAGGTTGACGTCGTGAGGCAGGCACCACTCGATCATATTCCCTGCCATCCACACACACACACACACACACACACACACAGAATAAAATGTCAAGTCACTTTCCCTTCTGGCTTCTTCTGATTCCGGCAACTTCCTCCAATTCTGCATTTGAGTCATGTGGCAAGAGGTCAGCGACAGAAAGAAAGCTCTGACTCAGCTACTGTAACAGTCTTTGCACTCAAGGCCTCCATGTATGAAGCTGAAGCTGACTTGTGGTCTGTTCTAATGGGATGGTGGTCTCTAAAGGCGCTCGCACTTGGGTTATTTCTGCACTGTGGGTCGATTGGAGCTATTTATTTGAGACTTTACATTAGAGATGTTTGATAACCCCCTCCTGCAACAGGCAACCCCCCCCCACACGACGCAGTGGAAAACATTATAGGACAATTGGAGGACATTTAGTTATCTGGACCACAAATAGCACTTCTAAAAAGACGGGAGACAAAAGATCCCTCGCGACACGCTGGTTTGCTCACCTGATCTTGTACCAAAGGTCACCACGAACACCGCCACGATCTGGTCTTTTTCCTCCCACTGGCCCCTCGACGAGAGGCCGGGGAAGAGGGCACCGCGACCCGGGCCGGGAGGCTCCGCCCGCGGGCGGCCCGGGCTTCCGTTGCCGCTGCGGTCCGCAGCTGTTGCGCTGCTCTCGGGCCCGCGGGTGACGGCGGCGCTCCACCCGGTGCCAGCCACGGTCACCGCGGCCGGGCGCCGCCCCGGTGGCTGCGAACTTTTCGGGGCGACCTTCTCCTCCCGCGACGGCGGCAGAGGCGGATGCTGCTGCTGCTGCTGCTGCTGCTGGGCGGCCTGGCTCGCATCGGCCGGTGGGATCTCCTCCCAGTCCAGCAGCGGGGCTCGGTCCGACTGCTTCACCATGGTGGTGGTGGTGGTGGTGGTCCCTCTGAGGGACTCGGGGAGGGTGAGAGAGAGAGGAAACGAACGAAACTTCGCCGTCCGGTTGAATCGACCGCACTACACACGGTGCTGGAGTTGGACCATCGTGTCCTGCTGCTGATCGCTGGGTTGTTTTCTATGTATTTGTAAGCGTGTCACATCCACGGATGGGCTGCTTTTCCTCCGCCCGCCGACTGTTTTGATGACGTCGCTGACTTCCGCCCACGTGTCTTCATTACTATTTCATAGCGTGACCTAATTTTGCTTAAGGGCTTTTTAATGTAGTCCATAATAAATCACACGTTCACATCGTCGTGCCATTCGCATTGGCATCCAGACGTAGTGCACCTGTTTTATTTAAGTGTAGTATACAATTTTATTTTCAACGTTTGTTTAATGTATTGGAATGGCATTATCCATTAACATCCACAAACTTCTTAGTTTTAAGGAAACGCGGTAAAAAAAAAATAGTTTATGCAATTAACAACCATTTGAACGTCAAGTGTGTGATTTTCAGCCAATCTGAGAGCTCGATTGCGCAACTCCCGCGGCACAGTTTATTTAAGCAGGAAGTAATTTGCATACGAGGCGCGACATTCAAAGCGTGGTTGCGACGCTGGTGAGGAGATGCGCCTTGATGGTGAGTATTCATGATGAACACACAATATTACTCTTAACTTAAATTACAATACCATCAGTGCGTCAATGGCCGATGCATGAAGCAGCTGTTGAGCTTTCACATCATTTTGTTTGGAGAATGACATTTGTTGTGGATGTAGAAATCTAATCGTATCATACTGGTTATGTGTCAGCCGACTGTAAAGGCAAAGTGCCCTTTTTGCACTATAAATTCAGTCGAATATTAGAATCATACTTTTTGTCTAACCCTTAGACCCCAAGCATGGCAACGTTGTTTGACGAGATCAGCCAGCAGCTGGACTTCACCAGCTGTGGAGAAGAGGGGACTAGCAGCGGCCACAGCTCCGACGACTGCACCCCGATGATCCACAGTCCCCGGCTCAGCAGTCCCCGGCTCAGCAGTCTCCGTAGTCCCCGGCTCAGCAGTCCCAGCTCCGGCCGCAGAGCGCCCAGGGTGCAACGCCAACGCAGTAGAAGCAACACCTTGTGTTCCCCTTTACAGTGCACAAGTCCTATACCTTACGCAGCCTGGAATAAACTGCGGCTCTGTGACTCTCCCAGCACACCCAAGGTGAGGGGTCGTTCAGAGTGACGCCCATGTGGTCTCACTTCCCTGTTGTTATGAATTGTGTTTGTCCCCCCCCTGTAGAGTCTTCTGTCAAAGTCGTCCCAGCCTTGCTCCAGCACCAAGATAGGCCGCCCTAAGCGAACCCTGTGTTTCGCCTCCGCTAGTGGCAACTTCATCCAGGCACCTTCCGTCAACGTGAATCCTTTCACCCCTGAAACAGTCCGCAGGAGCAGCGAGCAGCAGTGGAAGGACCGTTGTAGGAGTGATAATGATCAGGATTATGGACGCAGGTAACTACGCTGCGTGCTTTATTGTAGATCTGTAAAGGTCCGTGTAGAGCCGATATGCGCCCGGTATTTTTACACAGATGGGGCCTATTACCATTTGAAGATGTGATTGCTCGTTGGATACCTCACGCACTGAACTGAGGAATTCCTGTTCTTCCTGTTTTTACTGTCCTCACACAGTCTTGACTTTTCTATCTTGTCCTAATGCATTTTAGTTCAGAGCACATAAAAGGTGTGAAAGCCCTTTTCATTTTTCAGGTTGAAACACAGCCTAACGTCATCTGAGGAGGATGATGATGCCTTTCTTCCTCCGAAGGTAAAAAATTGGTTTCATCCACGCTTCGGTGGCGGATGTAACCATATTTCTCCAACACTTCTGTTTTTGATTTCATAATCCGGCTGTGTCATCTTTGCCTGCCTCTTCACTTCTTGTTTCGCCCGAAATGACGCTGCCCATCCTGCTTCCGTCATTTCTCAAAGGCATCTCCAAAAGAAAAGATCTGTCAATCCTTTCCCTCGTGGAAGTGCTACCATATTTGGTGACGCAGCGATTCCCTCGCTCGAGACCGAGCGTCTGTGACGAGAGTTCCTCCGTTCAGAAATGCGTTTGATTTTTTTCCACACAAGGCCCTCAGTCTGTTTTTCTGGCAGAGACGAGCTGTCCAAGCCCTCATGCTGTCGCGCTACGAGAGCGAGTTCCTGGAGCTGGAGTGCATCGGTGTGGGGGAGTTTGGGGCCGTTTACAAGTGTGTGAAGAGGCTGGATGGTTGCTTGTACGCCATAAAGCGCTCTCGCCAACCCCTGGCAGGCTCTACCAATGAGTGAGTCAGCAGAAAGACGCTGTGTGCCTGAGTCCGCTTTTATCATCCAAATTTATCTGACCCTTTTTTCTTTTTTCTTGTGTCCTCTCAGGCAGCTCGCCCTAAAGGAAGTGTATGCGCATGCGGTTCTTGGGCACCACCCACACGTAGTTCGGTATTATTCAGCATGGGCAGAAGACGATCACATGATCATTCAGAACGAATACTGTGATGGTACGTGTCCCATTTCCGCCCGAAGGCACCATTTACGTCAAATGGAATGAACGATTCAGTCATTGTCTGCGGCCAGGTGGAAGCCTCAGCGACGTCATTGCGACGAGGAAGATGCGGGAGGAGATATTTTCAGAGGGCGAGTTGAAGGATCTGCTCTTACAAGTGTCCATGGGATTAAAATACATCCACAGCGCTGGCCTCGTCCACCTGGACATCAAACCTAGTAAGTGTCAGATAGCTGTTCCTCACGGTTTTCTTGTAATTTAAAGGTTAAACCTCTTTTTGTTTCATTCCTTTCGCAGGTAATATATTCATTTGCCAGCGTCCCAGCGCAAGTGCATCGGGTGAAGGGGAGAGTGAAGAGGAGGATGACCGAAGCACTTCAGCGGGAGTCATTTACAAAATCGGTATCTGTCTTTCCCCTACATGTTCAGGGTAGTCGGGCAAACGGTTTGGGGAGGGGGCGTTACTCTGGTGCCCTACTGGTATAATGGTAGACTGGGTATTGTGTTGACTGTTTCCATATATATATGCAGTCTACCATTATACCAGTAGGGCATATATATATATATATATATATATATATATATATATATATATATATATATGCTGAATGTCGTCGTTTGCTCTAAAGTGTGGGGACTTGTTTTCTGCAGGGGATCTGGGTCATGTGACCTCTAGCAGCAGTCCTCAAGTTGAGGAAGGGGACAGCCGCTTTCTGGCCAAAGAGGTCCTGCACGAGGTAAACATTTTGCAAAGCAGTTGATGACGGAAGAGTAGGCGATTTGCAGATTCGTCCAAATAAAACCCATTCCATCACGTTTTCCAAGAGCTTCTTTCGGGTGTGTCTTTGCTCTCTAGGACTACAGTCAGCTGCCAAAGGCCGACATCTTCGCTCTGGGCCTTACAATTCTGAGGGCAGCCGGCGCGCCGCCTCTGCCTCAAAATGGAGACGAGTGGCACAGACTTCGAGAGGGGAAGCTCCCCAAACTGCCAAAGGAGCTGTCTCCTCCATTCAGAGGCCTACTTCAGGTAGTCTTATTTCTGGAATGATTATTTTTATTATTGAATTCAAATATCATTTTGAAAATTCTCCTAGGTTGTTAAAAATGTTTTTCTTTTCCCCTCGTCAGTTGTTGCTGGATCCCGACCTGACAAAGCGTCCGTCTGCCAGGGAGCTCTGCAAGCACACCGTCCTGCGGGAGGATCGGACCGGGAGGGTCGCCGCTCGGCTGCGTAGAGAGCTCAATGTAGAGAAGTTCAGGACAGCCATGCTTGAAAAGTAACCGGGGAAACATAATACTTTAACGGGCATTGCCAGTTCTGTTCTTTTAAGCCTTCTTCTTCTTCTTCATCATTCATTCAGTCTTGGATTCATTAATTTATTTCTGTTTCCTCCTTAGGGAGCTGCAGGAAGCTCGTCAGGCAGCTTTATCACCCGACCAGTACCACTGTCCTGGGCTGAAATCTGCTAAAATGGGGTCTTTACCCAAATCTGGAAGGAGGCTTGTTGGCGGGAAGGCCGTTCGGTCCATGAGCTTTGGCTGCTTTGTGAATGGAGACTGATGTGACTCAATGACACAACCACGTGCCCTCCCTTTGCTCGGGTGATATGCGCGTCCTTCTGCAACCCGGGCTGTGCTTAAAAAGGCACAGAGTCTCTGATGGCCAAATGACAACATGCAATAAAGATTTGGGGGGGGGACTGGATTAAAAGCTCTATAAATTGTCAGTGATGCAAAGGTGGGGTTTGTTTTCAAAGGATCTAACTCACTCAAAGGCAGATTGATTTTTATGACAAGTGAGATGTAACTGCTGCAGTTGGATGATTTTTTTTTTTAACTGTAAATAAAACTTTTAAGCATTTTATCAATGGCTCATTTTATTTTCGTCCGCTTTTGCAACTCTTGCACTATGTAATCCAGCCAGCCCCTTAAACGGGCCACAAAGGGACTTTCCACTGGCTCTTATCTACAAGTGCAGACAACTGCGTGACTAGATGTGGACTTAGCTATGAGCCATCGCACTGCCTGGTGAGTGGGTTGGTGGGTGTGCTATTCGTTGTCCTATCCTACCTTTAATAAAAATAGGAGTTTAAAGTAACTATCGGTACTATAAATTAGATGGTTAGCTGTCGTACAGACGATACGAACACTAGATCTTGTGGAGTTTGTGTGAAGTGGACTCATCCCGGATAAACAAATCTTCTAAATAAAGCGGTCGGTTTTCCAACTGTCCCTGAAGGCAGCAGTTCTCCAGCTCGCGCAGTAGCTCGCGCAGTAGCTCGATGGCGCATCGCCGGTCAACCGTAGTTTTGTAGGAAGTACCCGAAGCTCCCGGCGAAAGAAAAAAACGACCCACCGTGAGTGACATCATCCGCACGCACACGCCAAAACACATCTGACGTTTTGCTTCTCCCCAACGTCACCGTTTTACGCTTCCTGGCTAACGTAACGTTAGCATCGATGCGTTAACGTTAGCTTCAGCTCGCGTTCCTAGCCGGCGCGCGCGACGTCAGCTGAGTTGTTTGCAGTTGACATTTCTAAACGTGAGTTCTCCACTTTTACTCTTTTTAACTCATGAGTGCGTCAGCTGACGTTAGCTGACTTTTGTTTCATCGCGTCTGCGAGTCTTCATTCAAAAGTGCCCCTTCCTTCCTTCCTCCCTCCCCGGCAGCGATCACCGATGGATGCCCTCGGGGAGCAGAACGCCGCCCTTGTGGCTTTGGCCTTCCTTCAAGCCGACTGCGCGTCTCCGGGTTACGGGAAAGCGCTCAACTCCTTGCGCGAAGACGTCCTCCGGAGCCGGCGCATCGACCTCGGTGGCCCCGCGGGGGACGCGCCGGGGGACGGGGACCTGGAGACGGACGGACACCCGTCCAGCCGCTGCATCACCGCTGATCTCGGTAACATCATGCCTTCCGTGGAGCTGGAGTATTTGGATGGTAGACCCGCCCCGACTTATATCGGATCAGATGTTTTGTGTTTTATGCTTCTTTGTGTGTGTGTTTTATTTCTGGAAGCTTTTTTGGTGGATGTGTCCAATCACACCGGTGAGCTGTAAAAGCGATCACACCTCATCACAGTCAAAGTTGTTTTCAAGATACAGTAATGAAACCACTTGTGCCTTGAAGGGAAAGCAGGAAGTGACAGCTGTCAGCCATTTCATGTGACTTGGTGTCTCAGTCAGATCCAGTCTACATTTCAATCATCTTATTGACTGAAGAGGTCAAATGTCACGTCTTGTTTTCCCAGAATATTAACATGGATTAAATCACAGTACACAACGTTCACCGAGGTGTGCTAATTGTTTAGATAATCTTTGTTTTCTTTTTACGGAACCGTGCAGAGGCAGATCTTCATCAGATCGCACAGGGGCTGCGAGAGATCGCCGACCAGTTTGAACTCAACGTTGTGGCCGAGGCGACCGGCAACCTGGGCAGGAACATCTCAGCCTCCCCCTCTGAGGTGAGTCCGCTCCGAACACAGGGGAACGCGGATGATGTGACGCTCACAGTCTGCGATACGCAGGACTGTAGATAAGTCAGTTACAGCAAGGAGATCATTAATGGGGATTATTTAACTCTTATTAAATGTTTCCACTCTTGAGATTTGTTTAGCGGGAGTCGGCCTCCCAGGTGCTGATTCAGTAGGCCAACGATAGCAGTAACAGTCCGAGTCACTAAACACTTGGCTCTTTGCTGTGTTACACAGTGCGTTCGGTCGCTGCCCTCAAAACTTCATAATCTGCTGGGCGGTTCATGTGGACCTAAGGGTCATCTTTTTAAGATGAACTGGATTACATCATTTCATTTGAATTATTTGATGAACAAACGTCAGTGTGCAACAGCTGGACATCCACCCACTTCACAGCAAATTCAGACTCCAAACGTCGTCCTACTCGCCTTGTTCTGACCGGGTCCCTTCTGTTCACTTGCAGCAGTGGAAAGATCACCTGACGTGGGAGGTGGAGCGGGCGATGAGGCGGGGCGTCGGTCTGGAGCACCTGCCCCAGGAGCGCGTGGCCGCGGCCCTGGCGCTCACCCTGGTGAGGGGAGTGTGCGAGCAGACCCCCCGGCTGCTGAGGGACCTCTTCTCCGCCGTGTTGCAGTACTTCACCCCGGCCGGGCGTCGCTGACGGAGGAGCGGCTGGATTGGAAAGTGGCGTCCTGACGGAGGAGCGGCTGGATTGGAAAGTGGCGTCCGCTTTTTTTTTATTTAGACCGTCGACACGTGTATGAGTTTACAGTCGTTTTTGGAAAAAGGGAAAAGGAAGGTTAATTGAGACTTTAATATCTTCATTACTTTATTTGTTTACTATTGCCTGAAACGGTATTTTATACTTGAAACATGATCATATTGTATTTGAGGAATTTTCTGTCATGTATGTTTATTACAATACAATTTGATTAAATCTATTTTCCCAAGATTGAGCGTGTTGATATTCGCCCGTGCCCACTTTTACACAGCAAAAAAAGACACCACAGAAAACGTTCTCAAATACTGTTTTAATTAATCTCATCTGAAACTCCGGGTAAAAAGCATGTTTGGGACCTTTCTTAGCATCCACCCTTTGAAAGCAGGAAGTCCATGGGTGTTCTGTAACATCGACACAAACGATGTTCTAACAGACAATCCTGAACGTTTCATAGAAAAGGTCGCATGTTCCCCTAAAACACGTTACTTTCTGTTAAAGGTAAAGTTGAAACTTGACAACCTAATCAGCTTCTCGGTTAATGTGAGACCATAAACGAAAGTCAATGCCTTCAAAGAACAAACTGACCCGACCGCAGGTTGTGGCAGGAGTCGGGTACGTTGCAAGTGGAGTAAAACGCAGAGAACTACAAAGAAAAACAGATGCCGCCTTGCTGTGTGGGAGGAAGGGAGGAAGCGATTCGTCTCAACACAACTGGAATGGCGCCAAACCCACCACCCGCGAATCACATACCCAGTGCACAAACTCTCCATTCAAAGATACGACGGGCTGAGAAGAAAAACACCAGGAGGAAAGAGCTCAACAAAGTGCTTTGTTGGAGTCACAGTAGTAATAGAGGGCAAATAGTCAGTATGTGGTAGAGGTGAGATCTGGGTTCCCAGGGGGCATTTTCACAGATGTAAAACCCTTCAAAAAGAACCGCAGATACAACCGCCTTATTTAGTCAAAAGAAGACTTCCACCATGTGTGTACTAATACATTTATTTCTACCTCAACATTGTGTAATTTACATTCTTCAACCCTGAGTAAGATTTTTCTACTTCCTCCGGTAGCTCATGGCCCCGTACGCCAACACGCCAGCGAGCACCGCCAGCGCGGCGCCTCCGCAGAGCATCGCTTGCAGCGCGGATTCGGGTTCCGGCTGCGTGGGGGGATCCTCGGCAGGGGCCTCCGCGGCCCGCGGGACAAGAAGCTCAGCCGCCACGGCCTCTTGCTCTGGTTCTGGTTCTGGCTCCTCCGGTTGGGGGGGCACCGTGACAGGCTCCGCCGGTTCGGGAGCGGGTTCTGAGGTGGCTGGGGTTTCCTTGGCTACGGATTGGGGGGCCACCTCAGCGGGTGCTGAGGCGGTTTCAGCAGCCAGTAATGGTTCTGGCTCGGGCGCCGGTTCTACTGCAGGAACGGATAACGGTGCTGCTGCTGCTCCTTCCGGCTCTAAGGAGACGAGAGACGGCTCCGCCAACAAGCTCGCGGGCGCCTCCATCACGACGGCGTCCTCCAATGAGAGCAGGGACGCCGGGTCTGCGGAGTCCCCCCCGAACTCCTCCCTGAGCTCGGCCAGCTCGCTCTCCGTGCCCAACACGCTCAGCATGCTCTCGTCTATCGCCCCGACCTCGCCGCCCTCCTCGAGCAGCTCGGCGTCCTCGCGCTCCACATGCACGATGTCGGAGTTGGAGGAGTTGTTCTCGCTGCGCTCCTCGGCCAGGGCCGCGCCCTCGTTGCTGTCCAGGCTCTTGACGTCCTCGGGGTCCATCGCGCCGACCTGCGCCCACGACTCGTGGCCCGCCAGAGAAACGGGAAGGCTCTCCGTCTGCCAGGAGCTCTGCTCACTGCCGTGGTCTCCTGTGCTCTGCAGCGAGGAGGGGGGGCTGAGCCGGTCGGGGTGCTGATCCCCCGACAGGATGTAAATGTCGTTGCTGTCTTCGATGCAGGCGATGCCTCGCTGCTCCTCCTCTGGCTCGAGGCTGAAGATCTCACCCTGGGGCGGACAGAGGGGGACAAGGGGAGTCAACGATGTGCTAAAGTGTGACTGCTGTTATTTTGTATCTATGGTCGCAACACGGAGGATTATTTAATCCCCCACCATCTCTAATTTAGATAATGCCAGAGTGAAGGATTAAATTGGTTTTTGTGACACCTCCAAGGGGCTGCAGTTCATCTGTGACGCTGCACTGCTTCACACCTTACGTTGGCCTTGTATCGCCACCTAGTGGCTCACTGATTAAACATCTAGTCATCTGCCAGCCTCTCCTGTTACATAACACACACTTATCATATGATCATGTGCGTATGAGTGACTGACAAAGAGGTCAGCTTGCTGAAGTAAAACATATTCCAGTGAATCAAAAAAAGGTACAGTCGGCTAAAATAAATACATGCATGTATCTTTTGCCTAAGCTACTTTTTAATGTGAGTATTTCATATGCTGACGCAGAACTCGCAGTTCAAACCCCAGAAATGCACCGGCGGGTGTTCACCATGAGCACGAGGGAACAGGATACATCCCGACCTGCTCACCGTCTCGACGGCATTTCACCGCGGGAATGTAGAGGCTAATTACGCCTGCGCCGACATGTGCAAAGGTTTGTGGGAAACAGGCTGCAGAAAGTAGGGTTGGGTTCATGGGAAAAAAATCCACCTGCACCACAGATATACCGAGCTCCACTGGGCCGAAGACAAACGTCTTGATTGGACCAGAGCAGGCGACTGTCATGTTTCTACGCACGTCACAGAGGTGTCACCTGAACTTACGGAACAAAGAGAGGGACAGACAGGGGTCACAGAGGGGTTTGTTGCGCGAGTGCAGCAGACTGAAAAGGTCCCGACAGCAAAGATGTGCTCCCATCTGCCAGCCTCCCAGAGCCACACGTCCCCTTTAGAAACCGTGATGAAATGTTCTGGTGTTCTTGACACAGCACCATTGACATTTGCATCCGAAACACAAAACGCATTGTGAGGAAGCGCACAGTATGGAAATGATTATTGACCTGTGCAAATTGAACTGGTAAATGACACCGGGAAGCTGTGACGGTCTCTTCCTAACAAGGACACTACGTTGGCGGTCGAGGCAGAACGGAGATTAGATTTCACTGCTATCTCTGTTATCCAACATTCGCGCTTTCCATAAGCTGATTTGCATGCAAGACTAAAAGTGAACCCTTGGCTTCAGTAAACTTTTTTTTTTTTTTAAATGTTGGAATACAGGTGCATCATCCGCAGGGCTGCTGCTTGTCATCGAAAAACAACAACTGGGCGAGCAAACACATGTGCCAACCATAAACAACTTGTTGCATAACTTTTAAAAGCTATTTAATTATTGTCGTTGATAAAATATTTCCTTTTTTGTCCATTTGGACAATGTTTTTCTTCAACACCATAACAAAAGCATGAATAATTATTACACACCTGAACGTATTCACACATTCAGTCCCTCTTTAACGCTGGACGTTGTAGCGTGTAGTGACACGCGGCTCCTTTGGGTGCTGTTGTGTTGCGAGGCGTCTCCCAGCGTCCTCCACCCGAAGGCAAACGCACGCTACGGTAAAACGGGTTCGCATTCCTGCTGTGAAGGGTGCAGTTTGCCCGTCACAGGGACACAACACTGCGCGGTTACTATACGCCAGAGGACCCTCATAAAAAAAAACAAAAACAAAAACAAAAAAACAAAACTGTCTCGAAACGAACGCCGCCGCCATGCTGCTGCTGCCAAACATGAGTTGTTGGGTGTGAGAAGTTCTCGCTTTGTACATCATAAAAACGTCAAACCCACCAGACTACGAAACAAAACCAGGTTTCAAAGTTTCTTGGCTATTTCGAAACTAGTAACTTTCCATTTTGGGATTATATTTCCACATGATAGCTGCCGGCTCACGTGTCCTCTAGACACGTCAGGATTATGTCATCACTGGTCCCGACAGGCGCCGAGGTCACAGCTGACAGAGAGCGACCACTGGACGGCTCCGTCAGCATCTATTTGTACCGTCGTCACCCAGAATGCCCTTTCACACTCGGATCAAATGCCTCAGCGAATGTTTTTAAACCCCTTTTTAAAACGAGAGTACCTGCTGAGACTGGTGCACACGTCTCCATCAGCCCAGGAGACCACCAATCCCACCATTTCACCCCCCAATTAAAGCGATTATTATCTCAACAATGGATGAGAAAATACTGATTACTGCTGATTTTTTTTAAAAGAAAGGGGGGGGGGGGGGTGACCCCAGGATGGAAAGGAGGGATAAGCAGCCCTGTTCAGCCCGTGGCCAGCTGCTGCTGATGTGCAAGTTGGCCAATCTAACCCCTGGTGATGATGTATTCAGAAGATTAAGAGTTATTTTGGGGGGGGGGGCTTTCTGAGGCTAAACAACACTCTACTCTGGTCAAGTCTCGTACGAAAGCAGTGACACAGTGATGCACATGTTCCTGCCCCCCCCCCTCCCTGCTGGCATGTGGTGCTTACATAACACGGGGGAGAAGAACCGCCTCAGACTGAGGGCGCGCACAGGGCGCTCTGACTACCAAATACACTGCAGTACAGGAACGCATGGACTCGCTTTTCCTGCTCTTTTCTCTGCGCGCTGATGGTGTAACGGTCAGCGCACCGCTTTTGAACCTCAGGAGTCACGTTACACCACACTCACGAGGACGGGAAGGGACGTGGTGCACTCAGCTGCCGTCCAGCAGTTTTCACTGACGGACAAAGGTCAGACTCCTCGACGGGAAGGAGAGACCATATAGAGACACGTTCACGATTACATGAACAGATACATGCACACGGCGCCAGAGAGCGGCTTAACTACAGTCAACTAGTTCTTCTCCATCTTCATTTTAGAATCGGTTTCTCCATGTAGGCCATTTTCGCCCGCCCCCATTGCTGCCCCCTCTCCTCTCCTCCTACCTGCCCCTGGCTGTGGCCTACTGCTTTTGTTCCTGCCAAATGAAGTGTACGGCACATTAAGGTCATAACAATCCTTATTGTGTTCTGATGTAACCAACAATGGCACGACGGCCGCCTGATCAAGCAACTTCACTGGAAATTGACCGCGCTGGAACTAGTCTGTTGTTTTGCGTCGCTTCAGACAACGAATGGTGTAATAAATTGATAAATAAATGAGATGAATATAATAAACAGATTTGTGCTACTCGATGTTCGTCGTTTAGTAGCAATGAACATACATTTTTCTCACGCAGTAAGTTCCCATTTCGTGGAACGAGACATAAATATGCACGTGCAGCACGTCTACACAAAATAACAATTAGCTCCACACACATTAATAGTGCGGAGAGAGATACTTTGCGTAAAAACCTGCACGCAAAATCCGTCCCGACCAACGAGCTCACTCTGGAGCAGCTTCAGCGCCGCAGACCGACCTACCTGCACGTGAAGTCCCGGGGGAACAGAGGCAGCACGCGACGGAGGTTCCCGGAGTCTTTAGGACGGCCCGTGGAGGCAGAGAGGCGAGTGTGCTGGCCGGCAGCTGTCGAACCAATGGAGGCTTCACTTCCTACTCCGTGCCCACCCTCTTTGCCTCTCTCCTCCCCCCTTCGTATTCCCTCCCCTCCTATCGGCAGTTTCTCCACCCCTTTCTCTCGATCCCGCCATCGCTGATCCTCAGCCGGTCATCCCTGGTGACATATCGCAGAGTGAGACTGTCGCTTTGTTTTGGAGCATTACATCCAGAGCATCAGGACAATGAGGCAATGGCGACTGGAGGTGTGGTTGACACAAGTCATGTGACCCTTAGTCATGACCTTGTTCATCGGGAGCCAACGACGTTCCACTTATTCTCCAATTATTATTATTATTAAGAAAATGCTCGCCGATAAAATAAAAAAAACTATTCTATTTGAAAATGAAGTTGCAAAAGTTGCAGGTCTGTGATAATTATGCAATATGATTGATATAATGCTCACTCGCTCAATGCTTTCAAGAGTAAACACAGCACTGCAGCTGCTTTATAGCAGGATGTTCTCACAATGAGGACATATCAGCATTGCATAAATGCAAACTGCCAAGATTATTGGTCAGCTCAAATCACAAGTTCATGTTGTAAATGGTAAATGGACTGTACTTGTATGGCGCTTTTCTAGTCTTGTGACCACTCAAAGCGCTTTAACACTACATGACATCATTCAGCCATTCACACCCATTCATACACTGATGACAGGAGAACCATACACAGTGACACCTGCCATCAGTAACTACCATTCACACGCTGTAGCCGCAGCTACAGGAGCAATGTTGGGTTAAGTGTCTTGCCCAAGGACACATTGACATGCGGGTTAGCCGGGCCTGGGATCGAACCCACAACCCTCTGATTGGAGGACGACCGTGCTCCCCACTCACCCACAGTCGCCCTAGTTGTAGGACAGTTAAATATGCAACATTCAGGATCCAAGGAACGTATACGGCCGCAAACTAGTTTCCATTTAAAGATATGCTGGAGTAACGGCGTCCTCGGCAAAGAATGAAGTCACGAGGCATGTGACCACCATGCACGTTGGTGCACGAGTCCCGGTGTGTTGTGCCCTAGTGGCTCTGTAACGGCAGCCACTCAGCACTGCGGTCATATGGCGGTACAACTGACAACGGCGCCTTTGTGCGTCTTCTATTGCAATAATGAAAAAGACCAAACCGGGGCAGTAGTGGGTTCTCTTGGGTATAAAACAGCTGCACGGGTAACTCACTCATGCCCTCAGCAGGCTATTGGGAGTTCTGCACATTTGCTTAATATCCAAGCATGGTTCATGTAAACGTACACTACAAATAACTATTTTGACTTCCAGGTGACCAACTGTTAAATAAAACAGAAGGCATATAATGAGGCGTCTTCCATTGTTCGCTGAAAGACAAAGAAACTCACCCATCCTCCTTGCTGGATGATGTAGGCAGCTTCTTCCTCCTCTAGGAAGCGCATCCCCAGATTCAACAGAGTCGTCAGTGACTGGCCTTTGCTTTGTAAAGCCTCGAGTAGCACCAAAGGTACTAGCACCTGGGAGAGGGCAGGGGGTCGGAGGGGTGGAAGAGACACATAAGGAGGGAAGAGGTCATGAATATCTGAAATGGAAGATTAAATGTTGCACCACGTGCAAGTCTTTCATAATGGTCGTAATAAACGACTCACCCTGCTCCAGCCTCCCTGTGTGTGTGCCGAGAGATCCTGTGTTGTAACTCTGAATCTCTGGTAGTCCAGAGGCCTGAAAACACACACAGGCGTAAAATAATGTGTGTTTAGACAATACATTGTCTGTTGTTGTGTAAGAGTTGAACGCAATCCTTTTCGTGCAATACGGTCCTTCCACCACTGAAGGTTCAGGAGTTCACCGTGAAGAAAATTACATGAACAGCCGCTCGTCAACATTGACTTTGTCATTCCTACGAGATTGCAACCCTCCCGCTGTGGACACACACACACATTGTGTGAACGCCGTGGGGAAAATGAGATCAGCACTGAACAGCGTCGCCGCACCCAGCGTTTGAAAAACATTCGGATGAAAAACTTAAAGCGCCAATCATCCCGAACCTACACCAGCACTGACGGGATAAATACAGGATTATTGCTTATGAACGGCAGAGAGGAGCACACTGACCCTGCGAGGAGCGCGTCGACAGCTGCTGCCAGCTGCGGGTCGAGCTGTGCGGCCACACGGTCTCCCATCGCGGCGAGGCAGTCTTCGATCGCCGCCTCCGGGACGGTGGGATGAAACACCGGCGACGCGTGCCGGTCGAAGCCCGACGTGGAAAGAGCTAAGAACACACGGAGCACAGGAGGGGGTCGGATCTCTGACAGAAAAGTGTGGTTCATTTTTGAGGAATTATTGAGAAAAAAAGCAACAAAGAAAAAAGAAAGCTCAAATAAAATTCCTGCACTTCCTGATGTTAACTCCAAAGGTCCGGGTTATTTATGGGACCACAGTTGAGCGAGTAGCACGAATAAAGGTAACTGGGGTTAGCGTGGTGGTCATCAGGGAGACGAGGGGTCCTCTCCTCCTGACTTGGGCTGACGCCAAACCATCCTCCTCTATTCAGGAAGCTCGCTGTGGCAGCAGGGCATGGTCAGGCGTGGTCGGGGGCGAGAATGGTGCCCTCAGCTTTGAAGTAATTGTGTTCTTCCCACATATACACGGAGGACGGACTGACACACGTCCTTTATAGTCTAACCCAACAGGTTACAGGCATTTGTAACACTCACAAGACATGAGCGGGGACGGTCCTCGAGGGACACTCCCTCGTGTCGTGCTACTCAAAAAGTTATCTTTGCCTGCATGCATTTCATGTTATACTCTGACCTCTGGATTCCTTCACAAAAAGGTAAACAAAGAGAAGCCAGAGTTCTACAACATTGAGGTTTATGAATGTTTTCTTTTATTCATCTATACTATTCATCTACATTATATATATATATATATATATATATATAGCTGCCCTGAAATGTCAACAAGGAAGCATATCTACTTTCTCCACTATATTAAGGAGACCTGACTCCTTAAGGGTCAACTTCAAATCAGAGACCTTCAGACCTGAGAAATGAATATTAACATCTATTAAGTAACAGCGAACAGACGATTAATACCCGTCCCTCCCCACCCCCCCGCTGCTCCCCTCCCTTTGTCGGGCAACTACTCCCCCCGTAAAGTTGGAAACACTGTGTGTGTGTGTGTGTGTGTGTGTGTGTGTGTGTGTGTGTGTGTGTGTCCACCTTACATGCAGCGATTTCGTCATCCAGATGTCTCAGCTCTTCCTCGTGTTCCCTTATCATTGTGTGCCTCTCCCTCTCGTGTTGCCCGTCTCCTGCGAGAGATAAACAGACGAATCAACGGCCTCTCTCGCTCTATCACACACAAACAGGCCGACTGCTCACAGAGACTCTTCACAAATACCAGACAACCACCAATCAGGAACAACAGGAAGGAAGAGGGAAGACCCCCCTTTTCCAAATGTGGTTTTTTTCCCGGGCTTGTTGCTGTTTCAGCATTCAGTCAGACAGCTGAACCCGCCGGACTCTTCCGCGTCGGCTTGTTGGCGTGCGAGTTCTCCTACGGTGATTACACATGACAGCCGGTCAGAAATTGGACCGGGTCAAGCGGAAAGCCGGGATCAGCCTTCGCCGCCCATTCTGAGCACGCACAAAACAACAAAAAAGGGGAGACAGGAAATATAAAAGAGCCCAATCCCTCCCCCTTTCTTTTTTCTCCTATCCCTCACTTTTGTTTTTCTTGCTCATAATGCCAACACGTTTTTTTCTCTGATCTTTTGTTGGTCCCTGTGACAGAGGGAACCACACGCACGGCCTACAAAAATGTCCTCCTGCAAAACCCTGAGAGAGTTTGTCCCTGTGTAACCTATGAGATGCATTTCATCACTGTGGCACAAAGCAGGTCACATGGACCGATTAAAGAATTGCAAATGTGGCATGTCGAAAATGTGTCAAAGAGGTCAAAAAACACTGCTGTGTGTTCTAGCATGCCGGCTGTACCGGGGGGTGGGGGGGCAGAGGTGACTGCAACATGCTGCGCGCCTGAGGGCCTGGTGCAACAGGCTATAAAAGCCCCTGCAAAGAAAGACACGGGGCACCGCAGTGAAAGCATTGTGCCCGCTCGTATCGCCCATTTGTTTACAAGCAGCGGGCACTTTACAACCAGCGGGATTACGTGATACACATCGGCCCCTGCGTGTGCGACTGCTGCTGAAGGCTAAATTGAGCAAGAAAACAGGTGGCAGCCTGCCTGCACAACCAGAATATTTGTTGTTACTGCCCTGCGCTCAAGTGCATTCAACTCTATTTGCGAACTGTGTGAAAGCATGTCTGACGTTTGCCTGAAGATATGTGTGACACACGTGCGACACGCACGAGAGAGAGAGAGAGAGAGAGCGACCGAGCACGTCTCATCGGCGAGAATGGCCATTTCAAACTCTTACGTCTAATCTATAGCCCCCTTTTCTCACCTTGAGGAAAGGTCCGGGGGCGTGATCTTCCAACGGGCAGCATGGCCAGGTAGTTGAGCACGATGTACTTGGTTTCATAATGGAAACCCTCTGGCACGGAGGCAGCAGTGGAGGCAGAAGAGGTGGGGCCCGAGGCAGACATCGAACCGACTCTCGGGCATATGCGTGGTTACGGATGAAGCTGGACGTCTCACCTGAGGAAACTCAGAGCCAGGGGGAACAAATCTTTTTAGTTTTTAAAAGCACATCACACTCAACAGTTCTGATTGCATCAGTGAAATAGCCGGGGGCCTCTGGATCTGCCCGGCTGACCCCTAAAGAAAAACACACAGGTCGATAGAGCCAAGACGCGTCTATCTCGAAATCGGTACTTGCATGTGGTGTAAAGAAGGCAGGGTGAAAAGGGCAGTGTGTGGCGTTACTTTAACTTGCATTAAATGGAGGGAAGTCAGCTCACATCGTTTCCCCATAGACGAGTTAACATCATGCGCACTCAAAAGTGAAAAGATCGTGAAGTTTGACTTATTAACGAAAACACCTTCCGGATTGAACTGTCAAAATAAAACCTCTCACCGCCCCACCTCTGGAATTCCAGTAATACCAACGTGTCTGCGGTCAGATAACTCGTGTATAACTAATATACCAGTTCAAATAAAAAACACTAGCTTTATTGTGCTCTTACTTCCAAAGTGACAGCGTGGCTGCGAACGACTGACGTCAGGATATGATAGCGTTAAATGTTATACGCTCATACACCATTACAAAATTAAGGGACTTTAGGTAATGAACCATTAGGTTATTGTTACTTGACACATTTAACATAAGTAATTGTATGCCACGCTAACGAAGTACCGTCTTTCGCCGGAACACCTTAGCACACATGCAACTTGTTAACGTATTAGCTAGCTTAACGTTAACGTTTCACGTCCAATGCGCTATTCCGGAGATGCAAAACTTCCATTCAACTTAAATTACGCCAAACTGGAGTCAAATTCTTACCGTCCTTGGCCAAGGTCAAACAGCTGATGACAAACGACAGGGAGAATGGAAATTTTCGACCCAGTTCATGGAGCAGTAATTAAAGCAGACCACCACTGTGAGGGGGCAGCGGCGCTAGGACAGCGTGTGCTCCGAACGCTGCACAAGCTAGCGGTGATACACCACTGCGTTTCCTGTCAGAACTTTCAAAATAAAGCACGCATCAGTAAAGGTCCGCGGTACAACTTTGTGAAGCGACAACGCCGACTTTGTGCTGGATATACCTATAAAATGTATCATTCATCCGCACGTGAAAAGAAGTAATTTGAGCACGGACCGCTGTAACGTTACAGAGAGAATTACCTTTTTTGCCGTTGTTATTATTGGAATCGCCTTTCCAGAGAGAGATATTTTAAACGTATAACCATAAATAACTTTGTGGTCATCAAATATGTGACATACATACCATCAATGTATGGGCCAATCAAACCGGAAAACTTTTTTCTTACAGAAAAGGGAGGGGATAAACCTATTCCCGCGTGCATGGTTGGTGTGTCTTACTTTGAAAGCCGTAACCGGATGTTGCTTTTCATCTCGCGTCGCTAGCTCGACTTTAATGCTTAACATAACGTCTGTTGACTATTTCTGTGCAACCGGAGAACCCGAGTGGTTGGACATTTGTTGTATTTTACGGTCTTATGATTAACAAAGTAATTTAAGGACAGACATGGCGCTCACGGAGGCTGACGTAAAGAAACAGGTAACGCTAAAATAACTCTCGTTTCTGTTATGTTTACTTTTGTTATTGATCCATGTGACATAATTGTGTTAGCCACCGCCAGATGTTAATACACTTTACGCAAATTAAACAGCTTAACTTAACATTGCCCGTCACGTGGTCTGGTAGCGTGAACCGAAATAAAGTCCAACAATACGTCTAATAAGAAAAACACTTATAATAACAAGTCTTTCCCAACGTAAAGTCACAGTTCTGACTTTGATAAAAAACTACTCTGTGCAGATCAAGCACATGATGGGCTTCATCGAGCAAGAGGCCGGCGAGAAGGTGGAGGAGATCGACGCAAAGGTAAACCCTCCAGTGCGCCTCCCCTCCGTCATTCTGGAGGTGGTGCTCGGCGGGGATCAATAACGGGTCTCGCCCCCACCCGTCTGTTCGCAGGCGGAGGAAGAGTTCAACATCGAAAAGGGTCGTCTGGTGCAGACTCAGAGGGTGATGATCATGCAATTCTACGAGAAGAAGGAGAAGCAGATCGAACAGCACAAGAAAATGTCAGTTGTTTGGTCAAACTGCCAGTTCCTATTGGCAGAGATAACGTTTGTACACACCCTAAAAGTCCCTTTAAATCTTTATTTATTAGCAGCTCTAAATAAATCTCGTGTTCGGGGACATGGACATCACATGACAGACACGGATCACAAACCACGTTAGTGTGAAGGCTCATTGGCCTGGAGATGCTGCACCGCAACAGGCCTGTGTGGGTTTGTTCATTTATCAGCATTATTTTTTTCCACATGGCATTCATAATCTTTAATTTGCGTTTTGCAAGTCTTCCATTTTGACTTTGTCAGTCCTCTGGTGGGTTGGAAGGCTGTTGAACTGATCCAATAGCGGCGTCAAAAATATGAAATCGGTTCTTACCAGTTGCAGTGTTTTTTTTCTTTCGGTCACTTTGCTGCTCTGGTACTTTGTTGTTATGAACTTCTTATCCCTCCACTCAAGCACAGTTCTGGCTAACTAACCATTTCTGTCTACATCTTCTCGGGAAATTGACGTCATCAGACGAGCTCCGTAAAACCCGGTTGCGTTGGCGAAAGTATCATTAAATCAGTGTTTTCCGTCATAACTTTCTGTTGTGACTCATTGAATGTTCTTTCCACTCTCACAGCCAGATGTCTAACCTGACCAACCAGGCGAGGCTGAAGGTGCTGACGGCCCGCGACAACATGATCACGGTGATCAATGCTCTTATTTTACACATAATCTCCATGTGTCTTTTTCTAATAACCAACTGATTGTAAATTCTTTCACTTGTGTTGGATTCCGACAACGCAACAACAAATGACAGCGATTACACGCAATAACAAACCGTTATTATGAACAGGATTTATTCCAAATATCTGAAGACCAGCTTATGAGAAACTCGTTCATGTCTTTGAGGTGATCTAAATGAATAAAACCTCTCTCCTCTACTTTTGTTCCTCTCAGGACTTGTTGAACGAGGCCCGTCAAAGACTCGCAGAGATCGCCAAGGACCCTGCGAGTTACTCCGCCTTACTGGAGGGCCTGGTGCTTCAGGTAAAATCGCTCTCTTACTAACAACTGACTGGTTTCTCTTGGTTTTCTGAGTGTACTGTGCCGTCATTTAAGGGTTTCTATCAACTGCTGGAACCTAAAGTGACCGTCCGCTGCCGACAGCAGGATGTGGAAATGGTTCAGGTGAGGTCGAGATGCACAATGCTGCGTTAGAGTTGGAAATTGCAGGCAATTACAACCTTGGTTGACTTTGTGGTAGTTGGTAGTGTTGTGATTATAAGCCTTTGTTTTATTGCTTGTTAGGCTGCAGTTAATAAGAACATCCATATCTACAAAGAGGCACTGAAGAGCAACGTAGTCGTCAAAATCGACCAGGAACGCTTTCTTCCATCAGAGATGTGAGATGATTGAATGCACTTCTTGACCCATTCTTACTCTTTTAAATTTTAAATGTGCGACCAGATTTATTTATTATTTATGTGAAAGGGGAAGAAAAAAAACAACTTTAAAATGAGTTTAGTTGTCTGGTCATTGCGACCGCTCTTTGTTTTAACAGCTGCGGAGGGATCGAAGTGTACAACGACAACAGGAAGATCAAGGTGTCCAACACTTTGGAGAACAGGCTTGAGCTGATGGCACAACAGGTAGAGTCAGGTTGATCATCTGTGAATACACACACACACACACACACACTCAGTTTGTGCAGCCTGCCTGTGGAGGGCAGCAGAGCCCACTAGTCCGTCCGGGTTTCACACAAATGAACCCAACTGTGTTTTGGTGATAGTTTATTGAGAATCCTTGGGAGGGATTTGTTGACAAAGCTGCACAGACGAGCAACCTCACAACTACAAAGGCTTCCTGGAAAAGATCTATTGTGATACATCAGAATATATGCTGGGAAACATTACCTAACCTCGATATTGGCGTTATGCACGGAGATTGTACAAAGGTTCATGTTAGAAGTCTCACGCCTAAGGGGTCCGAACCATACGGTTTGATTCCGAAGGTTAGCACAAGCTAGAAGCAAGATGAGATTTAAATATCAACAAATTAGCGGATTACATGTCCCTCAGCGGTCATGTGTGTCCACCAGACACACGGCGATGTAGAAGAATGTTGCCCTAAAGCCTCTGTGTTTGTCCTGTTTCTCCACTGGTTTACTTCACTCATTCATCCAGGTTTCTCCTTCTAGTTTCTTGCGTGTACTTATTTGCGTGCCGACTTTACACCTGACAGATGATGCCTGAAATCCGAGTGGACTTGTTTGGAGCCAATCCCAACCGCAGGTTCACGGATTAACAGCGGATCGGAAGAGCGTGTTTCGGCGTGTGTGAACCGCACGAGCCCACCCCGAGTCTCACCATCACTTACCATTCAGTGTATGCGATGATACTGCTGTGTTAATGTATCTTCTTTTTCATTTTTGCACTTATTGACCACATGATAATTGGCAAAAGTGGCCTTTTATTCGTGTGCCTTTCGTTAAATAGACCCCTTCAGTTGTTTTGGAAAACCTGTTACTCTTTGATGCTTTAATTAATGAATATTTATCAAAATTCATATTTAGGTCACCAAATATACAAATCACATGCCTCGTTAATATTTTTTTAGAATACGGCCTATGTGATTGGTTACAAGGCATGTTTGCCAAACAGTTGGGTTGCGTGTGCATGCGGACAGAAAAACAAATGTCCACCATGGTTGTGAAGCTTCAGTGAAGGTCAAAAAACAAATAAATAAATGTGTGTGACACTAAGAAATGAGAATGTATGAGACATCTTTATTTACAGTGCGTAAACAAACCTTTTACTCCGGCTATGTTCGATCTACAAAGAGGAAAATGCAGTAGCCTAGGTACAGTAGCCACATCACAACGTGTCTTACATTAAAAATATCTTTTAGTGCCACGCAGTGGATTGAAGTAATGGCAAAGAGTTGGCAAGACGAGGTGCCGTACTCGTCCACGGGTCTAACAAATAGAATTGTCCTCGCTAAATTGGACTCACGTACCAAATCAATGATCCAAAACTCCCAATTCCACTGAATTCATTCAAGACGTACAGTTTTTATGATTGAGGAACAACCAGCACTCATAAGGCTTTAATTGTATTTTTTTGTGTGTAACTAAGCAATAACATATCCTTCGAGGGTTTTATTTTCCAGCAGTCTCACCTGACCCGAGCAGCAAAGTGAGCCGTGTGTTAGGGTATATTGTACGTTAATGCCGGGATTAAAGCATCACCATCAGATTAACGACTGACCTCAGAGTTCCTGCCAGCCGGCACCTCCCAATCTACCGCGAGAATCCCAGATTACAAATCAGACCTCTGGGAATGAGAGGAACGTATAAGAGGGCAGAAGGAGATTAAGCTCATTTTCCCGGAGAAACACATCAAAAACATTTTTTAACTCTAATCTTTTGCATTTGACGCCAGTTCAACGAGATGCAAAGTCAGTTGCTGATAAGCATTAAAGGGGGACTTTGTCACTTGCATAGGACAGTGCACAGTTCCTCGTCATGGCGACACAAACGGTCAGATCGCTCTAAACCGGCCACAACAAGCCCCCTCAGGTGAAAGGCCCCAGACGTAATGCAGCAAACCCCTTAAATTAACCCATGTGCTCAGATCACACACACACCTACACACGACCCTGTTTGACAGCACGTGACGAACCTAGAGGAACCCGATTAGTGATTAGAACCCGCTAGTCCACGTGTTAGTAAAATAGACCCTTGGAATGTGCGACCGTTCCCCCGTCCTTTGGTTGGCCGTGTTTCCCTCTCTCTGCATCCAGCGTTCTCTGCATCAGTCGCGTCATTCGTTCAACTGCAGCGACGAGGGGGGCATCCACCGCCGGCAACGCCGAGCGCCGCTATCCCAGCAGACCCAGCAGCGTCTCCCCGACCCCGAGGAAGTAGACCCCCTGCGCGATGCCGAAAAGGGGAGCGATGACCAGTGCACGGCACGCGGCGCCCTTCAGGAACGCCGACGGGCCCTCGCGCATCATGATGCGCCTGCCAAAGCGCGCGGGAGAAATAAAGCGTTACGTGGCCCTTCAAACATTTGGAAGCACTAAGGCAATAAATGTTGTCTCGCAGGCCGACGTCTCACCGTGTGCAGTCCACAATTCCTTTGTATGTGTCCTCGCCGTCACCTTTCTGCAGGGTCTGCAGGCGAGTCTTTATGACTGTAGAGGCATTTATGTACTGGTGAGATCAAAGATTACATGACTGAGCCTGTTATTTTGGTGTTATTGTACATTTAGCACGAACAAAGCAAATTGCACCACATCCTGCGCAGCTAAAAGCTCCATTCTCTGACACAGGCCACAAGTGGAAGGCCGGTCACAGAGATCCGGCGACGAGCTGTGTCACCGGGTGTGTGTACACACACCTGCTATCTTTGTGAGTAACAGAAGCTTCCATTCAACCCTTCTCACTTTGGGTGCGATCTTTCTGCCACTTACCATCCAATGGCGTTACAGCCACAGCTGCCACTGAACCTGCGCCGCAGCCGGACACAAAAGACTGCCAGAACGGCGCCCGGGCCTGCGCGTCACCCGCTGCTTCCCGGCCCAGCGCGTTGAGGTTGGCGAACAGCGGGAAGTAGATCATTGAGAAGGGGACGTCCCTGAAAATGAGGATTACAGAATATGTCAGATTGAGGGAGAGACAGAGAGGAAGGAATATGGAGGCTGGTATACGGGGGGAGTGGGGGGAGGAGATGGACAGTAAACGTGGCCCCATTCAGGTGCAGTACGACAGCCAGACGTAGCTGCAGGAATCTATTGATCAGCGTGGATTGTCAGAGTTCGACAGGAAGTACAATTAACGGGTTATGCAATGTGAAATCAACTCATTGAAACAGAGATGACGGACTTCAATGGTGGGAGAGAACACTTGAAAGTGGTATTTCTTTTTTAGACGTGCTACGTGAGAGCAAAATAAAATAATCTGAATGTTGCAGACTTGAGTGCAACCACAGACATTAGGAAGTGAAGGAATTATAATGGAGACCAGAGCTGTGTGCAATAGTTCAAAACTACGAAAATGGCCGATTGTGAAAAGTGGGAAATTAGGGTTTAACTTTTAAGCCTCTTTTTAACCCCGTCAAAAAAATGTGCACCTTCATTGGAAGTGAAACACATCATGTATTGAAAGTTTGAGGGCCAGTGTGTGAGTGTGTGTGTGTGTGTGTGTGTGTGTATGACCTCATTAACGTTGCTCCTGCGCCCCTGTAGAGGCCTGCCAGGCCACGAGTCTTCAGCAACTCCACAGTGATGCTGGTGGCCGAGGTCCGAGGGGGAGGGGGAGGTCGTGCTGTTGGGGGGGGCACCAATGATTGAGCTGTACCAGAGGCAGCAGCCTGAGCTGGAGTCGGAACAGGCCTCTGGGCAGCTGGTGGTCAAACGCAGAGTGTCCCAGGTAAGCAACACTCAACAACCAAATCAATCTTAGCAACAAAAGAAAAGGTGCAAGTTGATGTACATTAAATCCAGTGACCGACTAACCGAGCCTTCCTGCATCCTGCAGCTGGATCTTAAGCATCTCCATAGGAGTGGTGACGATCACCTGACAGGTCCCGGCCCCACACCCTGCCAGCACCTCCCCCCACAGGGGTAGATGCCTGGAAAAGCAAGAGGATCAATAACAAATAAGAGCATAAACTTTTGCAGTAAAAGGCAAAGAGTCGGTATATTGAAGCCACTTACTTATTTTTCATTCTCTTTAGGCAAATTACACTAATCTATGTGCTTAAATTGCGAGGAGGACGTTTGAGCTGAACCTATTTTATGTAGCTTCATTATGTGGTGCACCGTTGAAGGGCGGAAAAAAATCCGTTTTACCCATCCTTAGAGAGCTTCTGTCTGAAGACGTCGTTGGCCGCCAGCTTGATGGCTTTTTCTGGTGTGACGAGCGTGAGGTTCACCGCGGCACCTGGAGAAGACAAACGGGCTGATGACACACAACCAACGAGGAACGCAAATAGAGCAAACCTGCACACGAGCTCATGGCTCACGTCGAGGAGCAGCAGACCCCACTTTGTTATGACCGTAGGCCTCGCAGGACAAACAACAGACGAGGCGGCCGGATTAAGTTTGCAGTAAAGCGCAGTTGAAGTGTTGTTTGTCACAGGGATTAGAAAACGCAAAAAACGTACCTCTGTAGCATCCGAAATAGCCCTCCGAGCGGATCGTCTTTGCGAGGCAGTCCAACCTGTGAAGACAAAAAGAGAAGGCGATTTACTTTTTGTCTGTTTTGTCAAAATGTCCAAGAATATGCTCATGTTTCAATATTAAGTCTACTGACAGACATTGGGGTCGAGTCCAGTAGAGGCCAGTGCGATTTTAGTATTAGCAGTTACGTTGAAATTCTCTTTTGTTTTTTCTTTGCAAAGACCAAGCAGAAAGTCAGCCTTGTGACTGGGCTTTGAATGGAAGTTATCCAAGCTATTTTTCCATGTCTGACTCAGAGAGGAAACCCGCAGTCTAAAATGTGATGTTTACTGGGATGACCACACCCAACCAGCCAGCAAAGCCCACCAGATGTGCGCAGTTAGAAGAGTTTGTGTCAGTTTAGTTTTTGTGCATTTGTTTTATCTGGTTTAAGTCACCACAAAGGGGCGTCAACTAACACAATGTATTCAGTCTTTCCCTTAACTCACGTGACCCCAAAGGAAAAGGAAAGAGTGTGTTGAGCGGTGCTGATCCACCCTTTGATATGCAGTGGAAACTATGTTGGCATCATGTAAATAGATCTTACTGGTTTGAAGCTCAAATTAGAGTGCCGTTACCCAGGGAGAACGTTTTGCTGTCGCACACCAGCAGATATTTTGCAATGGTTTCACACTTCAGAAACTTAGATTTCTAGATTTAAGATGCCCTAAGAGCCCCTTGTTCAACAAAAACTATAAAAAAGGTATTGTTTAGGGATGCTAAGACAAACTGCATACATGTATCGGGTTAACCTGGGACTCGCTTCTGGACTGGTACTACTCACATTCCATTGTAGACCTGGACGCCCTGCTGGTTCTGTAGGCGGGTCTTGGCCAGGTCAATAGGAAATACACAAGTCACACCAACCAGGCCTGCCACGCCCCCATTAATCAGCTTAGCAGGGAGGCTGCTGGGGGATCAACAAAGACACGGTCCCACACGCAGCCAGAGAAGCATTCAAACACAGTCGCCAAGTGCAAATGACACATCCAGCCAAGCACGCGGACAGAGAGAGTGAGAGCCCGATGTTAAGCACCCGGCTCACATTATCAATGCATTTTTCCGTTTTTCATCGAGCTGAACAAGCCTGATACTCACCTAACTTTCTTCTCCGCCATCCTGCTGGTGTTTGGGCTCCAGGCCCAAGACCCCTACTCCTCCTCCTCCTCCTCCTCTTCTTCTTCTTCCTCCGTCGACCCCTCCTCTTTCTCCTCCTTTTCCTCTCCCCTCCCGCACTTTGGCGCGCCGCCCAACGTGGTCACCACGGCTTAACCCTCACCTGCCCGCCCACGCCACAAATGCAGATCACCGCTCCTTTCAGTATGGCAGCAGCGGACCGCCTTGGTTCCCCTCCGCGCTGCAGAGGCCGGCGCCCCTTCTTTTTTTTTGTGCTGAAACCACAACGGAATCTGTTGAATCTGTGTCTTCTGTCCCCGCCTGCCTGCTTTGTTGTAGCTCACGGCAAAGCCCAACTTCAAATCCCCCGCAACCTGGAAACACAAAACGCATGTAATTGATAAGGATTAAATCACATGAAAGGGAACAAGGGAGAGCAGTGTTCCTCTTACTCTGCAGGGCGCTCAACGCCTCTGTGAAGGAGTGTGTCTTTTGAGTCTGGAGGATTGACACACCTCACATTAACCAGAGAGCCCATCAATCATCCTCCAGATTTAGATCATTGGTAAATGTGAACAGCTCACCCCACCACTTCCACATCGAGACAAAACATCTTGGGTCCGTCTAATCTGCCCGCTAAAAGGGATCAGAGGAATTGATCTAGCGAGGCGGGCCAAACTGAAAATGAGGGGCTTACCGGTGTTCTATTACCCCATTGGAAAATCCAGCTTTTAACAAAGGACTGAAAAGGAGATTTGAATAGACATGGAATAACAAGTTAGACATAATGTTGTCTTTGTTTGTTCTGAAAGTACATTTTGCTGTCCGCCCTGAGGAGATAATAGAAAACGCAGTTCAAACCTTATCTTGGTTTCACAGCCATCCAACAGAAATTTCTTTGCTTTTCTCTGTTTCTCCAATTCTTTTTCTGCCTTTTTCTCCTCCTGTCTTCCCACTTTCGGTCAGCTCTTTAATTAATCTCTCTCTTAATCGCTCCACATCCATTCCACCTCTATTTTTTCCACTGTAAACCGTCACTCGATCCACGCCTGTCCTCTCTAACAGAAACATCTCATCATCAATCACTTTGCACTGTTTAATCTTCTCATCTCGATTCGTATCGTTTTTTCATCACCTTTCATCGCATCATTTTTCTTCCCTTATTTATGTCCACCTCATACGCTTGTCTTTTCCATTGCTGGATCCTGGTCGGATTCTACACATGCCTTTCGCTGTGCCCCTTTGCTGCGAAACTTTCTTTCAGCTCAGCTCCATTGACACACTGTGGTGACCCTGCCAAAAAAACTCAGACAAGGCCGCCCTAAACCCCGAGCCAACCTCCAGCTCCCGGACCTCTTTTTCCCCCCTCAAGAACTGCACTGCATCACGCCACACCTCACACAAGTCCCTGTGTGACAGCTTTAAAAAAAAAAGTCCCATCAACAGAGATGTGGCAGTGGAGAAAAGCTGGTCTTACCTTTGTCGGTGCATCCCACACACTGGATCAAAGCTGTCCGCTTTCTTTCACTTCAAACAGTGTGTGCAGCAATTGGTAGTCGAGCGAGAGTGGTCCGAAAGAGAGAGAGAGACAGAGAGAGAGACCAGCCGCCGCTCAGGGGCCGTTGCACAATCATCAGCATTGTCCTGCTGCCTCTAAGTCCCTCCCTCTCGTGGTGACTCGCTTCTGTGTGACACAGGCCCAGCAGCAGAGCTCTGCACTAACACAACTCGACATAAACTGCCCCAAGGAACACCAACAGACGCAGCCCCCCCAGGGGGGGGGGGGCAAATAGTCACAATTATAACTCAGTGTGTATTTTCTCTAACGACCTGTGTTTGTATACAGCATGAACCGCAACGCACGAAAAGGCTCCCCATCAGTAAGCGGCTCTCTATTCAACAGCATTGGTGTTACATAATACGTCTAGGCACACATGAATTCCACAAATTTTAAGAGACTTACAGGGATTTATCATTATGATTATTACTGTATGGGATATTTTGTTTAATTGTATTAGGGAATGTGTAAAGTCAGGTGATTATTAAAGAACAGAAAGTTATGTAAGGACATTAACAAAAAGAGCATGTGACATGTGACTACTTGTTGACCCTAAACTAGTTTTTCATGAGCATTGATTGATGTATTGATTCCTGTTGATGGAAAAACAATTACTGTCAGTGATCATTTCCCTCATCGTTGGGGAAAACATTGTAAAATATCCTGTGCAAGGAAACAAAAATATTTATTTACATTTTAATTTTTTCATTTCAGTGCAAACTGTGGCAGCCAAGTTGTTACTTAGTGAAAGCATTATATGTACCAACTCTCAGTCCAATGTGCATGCATGCACCATTTGCTCACTGACCACATGTTTTACAGAACCAAAAGGCTCCCTTTTGAAATAAAGAAATATAGTTAGAAATAAAACCTCATAATTGAGGTGTCCTGAAAGGGGTGGAGGAAGTATGCTCGACTGAAGTTAAAGTAACAGTAGCGGTGTAAAGTGTAATGTTTACGTTAATAGAAGGAAGGAATAACATGAGGAAATGGGCAGGAAGTATCAGAAATATAAGTTCTCATCATACAGATAGGAACCTGCCTGTGTTTTTGTGTATTGGACTATCGATATGTTACTATTCATGACTACAAGCAGCGCTTGAATGAAGCTGAATGAGGATGGAGAAATTTTGAATGGCTATTATATAGGTTAATAGGGAATAAAAGTGATTCATATATTATAAATACAAGTATAGAAAAGCATTCAATATATATATATATATATATATATATATATATATATATATATATATATATATATATATACATGCTTGAAATTGAACAAGCTCCGAAATCCCTACCCTTCTCGAAAAATCATGAGCTTTCCTCTTGCACCACCTTCAGGCCAAAATGTTAACTTTTACACTTGGTATTTCATTCATTTGATTCAATGCCATTAAATTAAATGCCTCGAAAGGGGTTTAAGTTTTGAACATGCCATGTTTTCATGAGGATGTTATCTGACTTTTTAAAAATAAATACAATCAGGTAATCGAAATTAATTCATGCATTAAGTATACTTTCAAATGTACACATAATTTGAAAAAAGCTTTAAAAGGACAGTGTTTTTTAAAGAAAAATGATTTAATCAAACATTCAACTATTTTTTTCTGAAGCAAATTCTTTTTAACCAAATTGCTTTTTACCATTGCTTTGTATTCACGTGGCACCTGACTTAGAAAATGTGTGACATGACCTTTCTTAGAAAAAATGAAAATAAATTGGGATATATGCAAAGAGTGGCAACTTTAGCACCAACTGTCACCATGCGCAGCTGCTGTCTCGCAGAATGCACTTTTTAACATATTGCGATGGAGGGAGCCCCCGTGCAGTGTATAGGCCAACGTCCTCCCCGCTGTTGTTTACATCATCTAGCCTGCGTGTAGCTGCCTGTATACGACAATGATCATACGAAGGAACCTTTTCAGATGTGTGATTGTTTGAAGACTGTTGTTGCTGTACTAAGTTCTAAGCGAAGAGGTGGTAGTTTGTTTTTTAAACTGAAAAAAAACTTGACAATGGGCTAAAGGAGATCGAAGATGATATAGCAAATGTGAGAAACCATTTCAACTCAAAACAGACGGCTCACAATACACGGGACCTACATTGGTGTAACTCAGAGCAGTTATCTGGCTCATATCTGCTTCATGTTTTTATTTATTTGTATTCATTCACCATTCACAAGCATTCCCTTTAAACGGCGACTGCACTACCAAACCGTAGGGGTGGTGCCGACTTTAGACTTTCGGTACCGTGAGGAGTAGAGTGTCCAAATGCATAGGTATTAGCAACCTAGTTTTCATTGTTATAACATCCACACGCTCGACATTATGCAGATTGCGTGTCGCTAAATATAGTTAGAATTTACAGTAACAAGTAATCGCCGCCCCCCCTTCCTCGTCGTGTGATGGTATCGTCCTTCCCCCATCTGCTCGGCTCCGGTTGGGCTCTGATTGGAACAGATTGTAGCGCTCTCCGGGTCGCAATGGCAACCGCGTGAGACGGACGACACCAGCAACTTTTTTTTCTCCGTCGCGTTTGGAATGTTACGAAGACACCGCGGGTCGCTGAGGAAACTACCTTCTGATGTGAACAACGGACGCCGCGCGCTATGTCAAGTCCGAAAATGTCCCAGGGATGTACAGTTTCTGTGGAAGAGATCCAGTCTTGGTGGGAAGTCCCCGCCATAGCCCACTTCTGCTCGCTGTTCAGGACGGCGTTCAACCTTCCTGACTTCGAAATAGAGGTAAATCAATACCCCGGCTGCTGTCGCCCGCACCAATGCCCTTCGTTGCGGAAATGAAAAGTTGTTTGTGTCAGCTTTTTCACGTGCTCGGTCCGGGGAGCCCGTTCCGCGCGACCGGGCTCTCCGGTTAACGTCCTCTGAACTTCTCTCTCTTTCTCGACCCCGCTGGGTAACGAAACGAGCTAACTAGCGCGGCTAAGCGCTAACTAGCTGCTGCCCGTCGCTGGTTCTTCAAAGTGTTTTTTTTTTAAAAGGGGGAGACATCAGCTGAGGTTTCAGCGGTCACGATGCGCGTTTTATCGCCAGATATCCGCGATAAAAAGTTTCGCGTGGGGCTAATTTTATATATACATATATAAATGGTGTCCCCGGGTAACTTTGTAACAACCATGTGCCACTCGTTTGTTTTCATTCGGCCAGAGCTGTGTTTGTGTCGGAAGAGCGACCCCCCCTCCACCCCCATTTCAGGTCATTCTAACCCCAAAAGACGCGTGTGTTTGCGTGACTGTGAACATTTGCCCGATATAACCTGTTTGTAAATCAGCACCAACAACGTATTTATTTATTTTTAAACTCCCGTAATAACTTGACCTGCCGCCCTGCGTGTGTCCGCGTCGATTCCCTTCTCGTTGTCATTTGACGCAGACGTGCGGATGGTAGCGCGAGGTTGGAGTTTATTGTTCTGGCGGTGTGGAGCCATCTGGCCGGAGGAGCCGCGGGGACGCAGATGCTGCTCGGGCATTGTTTGTTTGCTCGCTCGCCGCGCACCGTTTTTTTGTTTTCAACGCGCGACGGTGTTGAGTAACGCGCTTTCTTTCCCGCACCGATTGAGTCGGAGAAGCCGGTGGCGTGAAAGTAAAACTAAACGTATTACCCGACGTTTAAAGGTGCACAATACAACTTTGCCACTCGATTCGCCACCCCCCCACCCCCCCCCGCCCACACACACACACACAAACACACACCCATGTTCCTTTTAAAACATGTATTCGGACTTCTCAGAACAGCTTAATTTCAGCATGCGTGCATCTGAGGAGCCCCAATTGACCGAGGAAGGGTTGCGCTTTAGAGCGATCGGTACGGTCAACATCACGCATCAACAGCCTCCCATCACTCATTCATCCCCACCCCCTTGGGTGGGGGGGAAGAAGCACACGTAGGCATCGCTTTGTTATTGAGCGGGGTGCGACCCAGATTGAGGGTGAGGGGGGGGGGTCGTATTGCGCCAAGTTTACATGAAAGTTTGGGGTGTCTTGTGCTGTTGCATTTTTCCTTTAAGGAGATGTTGGATCAAAAATACACAAATGCGTTGTAATTCCGTGATCTCCACTTGAAAGGAGGCTTCCTTCCTTTACAAGTGACTGAACACCGTTCAGAGGTCATTCTGCTGCTGCTGCTGCCAGAAGCTTGGTCTTGGAAGGGCATCACTAAGCATGTTGCACACAGGTGCCCCACCCCCCCATCACGACTGGATTTTGTGAATATATTAAGATTGATGTAGTAGTCTTGTACTTTGACATCTCCATCAGTGTTCAAGGTCATTGCCCCTTTGGTTGTCGTATTACTGTATGTGCAGCTAGTTTCATGGTGAGAGACGCTTGGTGCGCCGATTGTAAGCTGACGGAAATGTGTATCCATGGGAACGCGAGCAATGTTATATCAATATTATATGTATTGTATCGGAAACCCAGTGCACATCCCTCTGCTGGGACATGGGATGGGAATAATACCCGTGTCATTTTACGACCCAGGATTTTTACTTTCTGTCAACGTCAGATTCACGCCTTTTGTTTAATTGGCCTTCTTTCCTTCTAGGGATGTTGTCTCTCACTTTGAGTTACTTGAATATCTACACAGGCACACTTTAGTTTTCTTAAACACTGCATCCCACACCGACCGTAGGGCAGCCTGAGGTCTTTCAGGCCAGATTGCTCTTGAAGCTGTGCTTTTACGCCTACGTGCACCGTGCCATTTGGTGCGTAAAGTGTGGTTTTGGTCAGCTATCAAGTCAGGAGGTCAGACTGTCTTGTGTTTCCCCGCGCAGACACCCGGCAGGCTGCACAAATGGCTGCCCATCAGATATGACGACATGAAGATAAAAGCCTACGGAGTCTCATGCTAGTCGTCCGGTTCGTCTCTCGTGTGCCTTTTTTTAAAGCTATTTTGCGTTCAGTTTGTGGCACTCGATTAGTAGTGTTCCAAAGCGCTGACTTTTGGATCCAACGGGTTGACTTTGAGGGCTTCCAAGAAATAAGCAGAAACTGTTGGACATGTTTGTTTTGCTTAATGCCACATGCCAGGAACAAGACCAGCTGGCTATGCCACTGCCACACATGTAGTACTTTGTGCTCCTTTCTCTCTCTGTTATCTTTGCCCTTTTGTCTTCACATACCGCCAGTTGAGGAAGTTGATGAGGCAATTATACCATACTACTCTGTCATTATTAGTTTGACACCAGCCAAAGTCCTTTGACTTGGTGTTGCTTTTCTTCAATCTTCCTCTTTTAACACGCTGTTGGCTGCGATTGTGTAAGAACGCTTGGGTAATGTCAGTCAGCTCCAGTTACAATCTCTGGATGTGTAGGTTGGATTACCTAAGAATCAGGGGTGGCAAATTGGGGCAGGAAGCCACTGTCACTGGTCATGACGGAGTGGGGGGACGTCGAGTGATTTCACTCCGTCCTGGGCTTTAGTGTCAACAGACTCGGGCACAGCGTCAGGCCATTGTTGTGGACACAGTGTTGTATTGGCTGCCGCTGTCCTTTTGTCGGTATTTACCACCGCGCTACTATTTTCTGGACAAACATGTGGGAATGTTAAGATCCCCAAGTAACTCTAACTCTATGTATGTATTTTCCCTGTGGTGGCACCTGTGGTAGACATGTTTTTGAAGGAGTGGGGCAAACACCTGATGGTACCTTTTGGGAATCAATAAATTATCTGTGCTTTCCCATCGACTCGCACCTCTGCACCGGGACTTAAAAACTCTGACGAATCCACCACTTGGTAACCGTTATTGGGAATGGCCGAGGCATCTGACTTAATATCTACTGTCAGTAAAACACTGCCTCCCTTTTCTCGTAATGAAAATCCAGCTTTTAACCACCCATGTCTCTTTGGATAGCCGTACAAAACCGACCCTTGCGCATTGTTCCATGGCTGATACACTTCAGTGACACTGGTTCCCATTTTTCCTGCGTGAGCTGGGAAAAGCGGTGTGTATGTGTGGATGAGACAATCAAGTGGGTGAGATGGAGAAGAAGGGTGAGTGTGGGGGGGGGTCAGATACGACGTGAAAGGACATTGGCATGGAAGAGTGAGAGGCTGATCGTTAGGAAGGAGCCCTCCTGCTCCCCTATCCGGCTTTCTGTCCTCCAGCGAATGCTCCATTCCTTGATCCATGTTGCCTGTGGAGTGACAGCCGCCGGATTCCGATCCATGTGGCCTTTATCACCAGACATTGATGTCCCAGTCATGCTGTCCACTCGCCGTTCTGCCGGGGGCGTGTTTGGCACATCGTCGTGCATTTGTTGCATACGGAGATGCCCATTATTTGTGATTAGATAAGACACACAGGCAATTTATGAGCCTTCAAATCAAACTTGTGGCCTGTAGCTCCTTTTTTTCCCTTTTCATTTACAAATTACCCACATGGCTTGTGCAGTTTGCCAATAAGCAGTTTTTTCCCCCATGGAAGGGTTGTCATGTTTTTGTTTTTCATTTTCCTGTGCCGATGGGAGGGTTTGGGGACAGAGGATGTCGCGTGTGTACTGTAAAGCCCTCTGAGGCAAATGTGTAATTTGCGATTTTGGGCTATACATGATAAAGCCCGGCATGCGTTTTGATATATTTTCAATATTTACAATACTCCTTGTTCCATCACGAGATGTTTAATATGTCTAATATGACTCAGGAAATAAAGAGACATGTTAAAAACATTACATACATATAAACGTTGCCGGAATACTGATTTACTTTTTTAAATTTATGGATCAAGAATAATCTTCGAGTATGATCAGAAAAAACGTACTTTGATCCAATCGGAAATATCTAAAAGGCTAATGGATGTAATTCACAGATATGATCTATTTACTTATCCTTTGAAATGGCTTTCCATCTACTTCATGGATTGGCAAAAACATTTGTACAGACACTCGTGGTTCCCAGAGGATGTGTCCTAATGGGTGTGGTGGTGATGTCACTGCTGCACTTTGTGTTTGCTGTCAAATATTAACAGTCGGCATGCTGAACTACTGCATAACTAATACGGTATTCATAGAAGACATTTAACATGATAAAGATTCTTATGATGTCACCGTTGGGCCCCAGAACCGCCTCCCCGTGCTGCTAACATGGCTTTAGACTTCAAGTGAACAATAAGCCGACCATGCTAAGCTGATTTACTAACACAAGCGTCTAAAAGAAGAAAAAAAAGTAGCTCCATTGAATCTTTAGTGCCTTATTTCTAACGTCGTGGGCCTTCTGCGGTCCAGCAGCCATTTACAGTGCGTCTGGTTTAAATCGTGTCCTCCACGTCACCTTAATGGGAGATGAAGGGCTGTTACTTTTCACAAGTGCAGCAATTAAGTAAATTCTATTGTCAAATGTCCCACTTACTAATAACTACTGCACCCAGCTTTAACAGCCAGCTTAAGCTTTTGACCGGCCCATTTATTATTCTTTCGTTTTTATTTTGGAATTCCAACCGCACCTTGATTTTCTCGTTCTACCTGTTAACATAATGACTCTCAGTTCCTCACCCCCGATCTCTAAAGCCACACACACACGTGTTCTTAAGTTACCTGATTAGAGTTATTGTGTACAGATCGGCAGCACCATCACTCCCCACTTTCGTTGAACCTGTTGCCGTACGAACATTGGTCCATTGCAATGGTTGAATCGCACCATAAGCGCCACTTCGACGTCTAACCTGCCGGGTGAAGTGGACGCCGGCGTGGATGTGCGGATGCTTGTTGTGTACGCACTCATCGGCGTTTCTGC